GCACCCTTGTGCCCACCAATCAGCCTGGGAAAGTGATCGGGACACGCAGGCTTGCAGCTCTAGCCTGGAGACCCAAAGCCCGCATTACCCGGGATCTCTTCCGGGTTCTGGCTGTAAGGCCCGAGAGTGGACCTGACCGATTCCCAAGCCGTGGGAGCCTCCCCTCACCTGGGAAACACAATTGCTGTAGTTTTAGGGCCCAGAGTTCAGTCTCCTGGTCGCTGCACGTAGAGTGTTGTCCCGCTTCTCAGACACTGTTCTCCTGGAGCCGCCATATTGTCCCCACCCCACCCCCGGTCTTTCTATCTCACCCTTCTTTCATAAGATTCCTTGCACTCTGCCCAAAGTTTGGCTATGAGTCTCAGCCTCTGCTTTGATACCCTGCAGGGTAAAGCCATTCAGATCCCCTCTGTGGTAGGCACCTGTACTGTTCCCTGTTTTCTACCTCTTTCAATGTACATCCTATTTACCTTCTGAATGAGAATTGATCATGTTACCCAGGGTCCGCATTCTTGATTAGTTTCTTTAGGAGTACAGATTTTACTATGCCTATCCTATATTATATGTCTAATATCCACTTATAAATGAATATATACCATGTGTGTCTTTCTGTTTCTGGGATACCTCACTCATAATGATCTTTTCTAGTTCCCACCCTTTGCATGCAAATTTCATGATTTCCTTGTTTTTAATTGCTGAGTAGTATTCCAGCTGAAACAAATAAAGCTGCTATAAATATGGTTTAGAAAATGTCTTTGTTGTATACTTGAGCATCTTTTGGATATATGCTTAGGAGTGGTGTAGTTGGATCTAGAGGTAGCACTATTCCTTGTTGTCTGATAAAGTGCCAGATTGATTTCCAAAGTGGCTGTACAAATTTACATTCCCACCAGCAATGGAAAAAAGTTCCCCTTTCTCTACATCCTCAGTAGCATGTGTTGTCACGTGAGTTTTTGGGAAAAAGATATCATCTTCAACAAATGGTACTGGTCCAACTGGATATCTACATGTAGAAAAATTCAAATAGATTCATACTTATCACCCTGCACAAAACTAAAGTTCAAGTAGATCAAAGAACTCAACATAAAACCAAACACACTAAACCTGTTGGAAGAAAAAATGGGGAAGAACCTTGAACTCATTTAAACAGGAGACAAGTTCCTGAACAGAACATCAACAGCACAGGATTTAATAATCAATAAACAGGACATCATGAAACTGAAAAGCTTCTGTAAAGCAAAGGACACTGTCGTCAGAACGAAATGACAGCCTACAGATTGGTAAAGGTTCTTCACTGACCCTATATCTGACAGAGGGCTAATATCTACACTATATAAAGAACTCAAAAAGTTAATCCAAACACTCAGAGAGGCAGAGGCAGACAGATCTCTGAGTTCAAGGCCAGTCTGGCTTACAAATTAAATCCAGAACATCCAAGGCTACACAGAGAAACCCTATCTCAGATAAAACAGAAAAGAAAAGAAGCAATCAATAGGATGAAAGACAAATTACAGAATGAAAGAAACTATTTGCAATTGGTACATCTGACAAAGAATTGAAATTTAAAGTATAAAAAGAATTCAAGAAGATGAGCCCCAAGAGAACAATCAATTAATTTTAAAAACAGGTTAAAGAACTAATAAGAGACTATTCAAAGGAACATCTACAAATGACAAACATAAAATCTGATTTCTCTATTATTGGGGAAAAGCAAATAAAAACCTCAGTTACAAGAAGTGAAAATGAAGGCAAGAATATGAAGAAAGAATAGCATTCTGTGCGTGTGTGTGTGTGCATGTGTGCATGTGTGTACATGTTCAAGAGAAAGAGAGAGTGTCGATGTACATGTTTTACAAGCATGAAAGTTCAAGTGGACTCAGAGGTACATGTATATGCAATGCATGTGCTTGTATGCCCCTATGTGTTCAGAAACTGAAAAACAAAATTGCTTGGAATTCCTCCTGCACCATCTAGTCTTGTTGGCCTACAATCCCTAATGATCTGACTGTATCTTCCTCCCAGCTTTATGATTCCATGCACACACCAGCACACAATGTGTTTTCACATGGGTTTTGAGACTTAACACAAGTCTTCTTGCTTACAAGCTAAATAGTCTACAAACTGAGCTATCTTGCTAGATAACAGTAACTTTTGTGTACTTCTGGTGATAAGGTAAATAAGTACCACTATTAGGAAAATAGTATAGAGATTCCTCAGAAAATTTAAAAGAGAATTGCTATATGATCCAGTAATTACACTACTGGGTATAAACCCAAAATGGTAGAAACTTTATACAGAAGAGATACATTGGCACTCAAATTCAATGCAACAGTCTTCATAACAGTAATTTAAACCAGATGTACTTCATGAAGAGAATGCTAAAGAAGATGTGATATATTTACACAATGGGATACTATTCAACCTTCAAAAAGATGATAATCTATTTTTTTCAGCAATGAGAATGAAACTTGGAAATGTTATGTTGAATAAACCAAGCCAGAGACAAACAGACAAATATTACATATTCATTTATGCAAACCAATGATTCAATATTGTAGAAGTAGTAGATAGAGAATGGGAAGGGCAAGAGGAAGAAGAAATAAGGAATTAGGAGGGACTTGAAAAGATGATTTAGGGAAGGGATACTGAGGGAGAGAGTTGTAGGTAAACAGATTTATAATATTTTTAAATTAAAGTTTCTTTTCCTTTTATTGAAAATAGATTTTTTTCTTACATAATGTATCCTAATACAGTTTTCTCTCCTTAAACTACTCCCAATTTCTCTCCACCTCCCCCTCTATCTGGATCCACTCCCTTTCATGTCTTTCATTAGAAAATAGCAAGCTTCTAAGATAATATTAAATATAACAAAATAAAATATAATAAGATAAAACAAAAACTATCACATTGAGGTGAGACATAACAAACCAACAGAAAAAAAAAACCTAAGAGAAGGCATAAGAAATAGAGGCCCTAAGCTGAGTAGGGTGGCATATGATTTTAGACCCAGCACTTTGGAAGACAGAGGCAGGTGGATCTCTGAGTGCCAGGCCAGCATGGTATACAAAGTAAGTTCCAGGCCAACTAGAGCTACACATAGAAACTCTGTCTAGAGAATAAAAAACAAAGACCCATTTATTTTATGCACTCAGGAACCCCATAAAATTACTAAGCTGAAGGCCATAATATATACTAGGAGGACCTGATGCAGATGCATGCAGGCCCTGTGATTTCTGCTCAGTCTCTGTGAGTTCATATGAGTTTTGCTCATGCTGATTTAGAAGGTCTTGTTATCCTGGAGTCCTCCACAGCCCCTGGCTCTTACACTCTTTTGCCATCCTCCTCCATGGGGTTGTAATGGAAGGGATTTTATGAAGAAAGACATTCCAACTCCCCCAATCCATCCATAATTATCAATTCTATTTCCCTTTCATAATGAAATCTATCTGTACCCTCTAGTTTGTTTTTCTGTAGTTACCTTCTAAGGTTGTCATTTATTTAACAGCTAATATCCACATATAAGTGAATACACAACATATTTGTGTTTCTGAGTCTGGGATAGCTCACCCAAAAGGAATTTTTTCCCTAGAACACATAGTTGCCTGAAATTTTCATTACATCATTTTAATTAATTAATTAATTCACTTTAAATCCCCATCATAGCCCCCTCCTTCCTCTCCTCCTGGTCCTACCTTCTCATCCTCTTCCCCCACTCATCTCTTCTTCTGATCACACCCTCCTTCTTTCTTCTCCCATTCTTCCTCCATCTTACCCCAAACTCTTCCCTTATTCTTCAGGTAAGGAGAGCCCCTACCCACCTCAGCTCATTAAGTCGAATCAGGACTGAGCATGTCCTCTTCCCTGTGGCCTGGTGAGGCAGCCATGCCAGGGGGGCAGTGACTATGCCATATTTTTAACTGTTGAGCTGTGTAAATACATATTTTCTTTATACATTTATTGATTGAGGGACATCTAGGTTGTTTCCAATTTCTAGTTATTATGAACAGAGCAGCAATGAACATGGTTGAGCAAGTGTCTTTGTGGAAGAATGGAACGTCTTTTGGATACATACCTACCAGTGGTATAGCTGGATCTTTTTTTTTTTAACACTTGCAATCAGTATATTAGGAGACAGTCATACATTTCAATAACTGCTTAAATTCTGATATCCAGATTTAAGCATGTGAACATGTGACTTTAAAACATACAACAAAGCTATCAGTTTGCTGTACTACCAACATTAAATTGCAGTTACGTTGGAACCTAAGCAAGCCTGTAACAGACCTAAGGAATGCCTTTCCTAGACTATATACATGCAAATCACTTTTCCACATACAAATCTTGTCACTTTAATCTGTAAATTGGGCTGTGGAAGTCACTACCAAGGGTTTGAGAAGGGGAAAAAAGGTGACCATGTTTTCTGTGTGTGTAGTTTTAAAGATGGCACAGCAGAAGGGAACACAATCTAAAAGAGCAAGCCCTTATGATAAACTTTTTTAGGAATGTTATCATTTCTATCACAAATAACAGAGAAATTATATATTAAACCATCTTCTAGGATTGGCTAATGCAATACAATGCAGAGGTATCACAATTAATTCACTTCATGCAACTAGACAGACCAACATGTCACTATAATCGTTTTCTTTTTGATTACCAGTTAAATTACAAATTCAAAAATTCTTTTTGATTACCAGTTAAATACAGAATTTTAATTTCATAGCTTAACATACAACACATAACTAGCATGTCAGTCTAATGTACACAGCTATTATCAGTTACACAAGATATGGCCTAACATATGCTAGGGAACTTTTAAAGTAATTTTTACAATATTAAACTTTCATCTTGCACATTGAAGTCATTATACATACAGGGCAAAGTCAGAGCTTTTATATTTGTGTTTATTCTTCATTTAACTTTTAAAACACTACTATAGTTGAATATTAAAACAAAAACAATAGCCAAGTGGTGAGCGTATTACGATCACAGTCCTTCCCACATTCACTACTGCATACAGAATTTCAGAGAGTGACTAGTGCACTAAGAGGTCTGACACTGAACGCCACCTCTGGGCTGATGTTCATCGTCCTCATATGCTTCTCCATTATAATGACACCATCTTTCCTGATTTGGATCAAAGTCCACCAGTTCTACCTGATCCATTTCATCAGTCTCTTCTACTTCCTTCCTTTCAGGAAGGAGTTTTTTCCAGCAAAGAGAGTTTATCAGGAGAGAGAAAGCCGTTTTCAGGGAAGTTTACCTTAAACTCAATGATCAGACGTCCTTTTTCATATGGCTGACGGTATATTGGCATACCTTCATTTAGCACACATTTTATATCTCCATGCTTGACAATTTGACCTGGATGAGAGGTGATGACTATGGTTCTGTTGTCAAGAGTGGATATTGGCTTTTGGAAGCCACACAGTGCTTCAACCAGCTGTATGTCCATACACATGAAAAGGTCTTCTTCTCGTCGGGTAAAAACAGCATGGTCCATCTGGTCTAACACAATGATAATGTCTCCTGGTTCCAGTCCCGGTTCTTGGTCTCCTTCACCATGGAATGTTATCTTCTGACCATCTTTCATGCCTTTATCAATATGAACTTCTAAAATCTTCTTCTCTCGAGCTATCTTTCTTCCTTTGCAGCTTTTACATCTGTCCTTAGGGCTTATGCGTTCTCCATGATCCTGGCACTCCATGCACACTGACTGAATTTGCTGAACCATTCCTGGTCCAATCTGATGAATCCTTATTTGCATGCCAGTCCCCCGGCAGTTGGGACAGCACTCCACTGCTCCTTTCTTACCACCTCGGCCTTCACATTTGTCACAAATCACATTCTTTTGCAGAGCCAGTTTTCTTGTTGCACCATTATACAAGTCCTCTAAGGTCACTGAGAGCTGATGTACAACATTTTTACCTCTCCTTTCTCTCTGCATCCTTCCTCCTCCTCCAAAGAATATAGCAAAGATATCCATGGGTGAGCCAAAACCACCACCTACTCTGCCCTCTTTAATCGCCTGCTCTCCTCCTTTATCATATAACTCCCTTTTTTGGAATCAGCAAGAACTTCATAAGCTTGAGAAATCTGTTCAAACTTTTCTCCTTCATTTGGATTCTTATCAGGGTGGTACTTCAAAGCCAATTTTCTATATGCCTTTTTCAATTCTTCCTGGGTAGCATTGAGTTTGACCCCCAAAACATCATAATAAGTGGTTTCTTTCACCATGTTTTACAGCCGGTGAGCGGGCCGGCGCCGGAGAGCAGAGACTGGAGCGTAGCACAGCGCAGCCGAGCCAGATGCGGCTCCTCCTACACCAACCCTGCGTTCTGGAAAGTTCCGCCCGGCCCGCCTCAGCTGACTTCTTTTGTAGCCCTAGCTGGATCTTGATGTAGATTGATTTCCATCTTCTTGATGAACCACCATACTGATTTTCATAGTGGCTATACAAGTTTGCAGTCATACGAGCAATGGATGGGTGTACTTTTTGCCCCACATCCTCTCGAGCATGAGCAGTTACTTGCTTTATTGATCTTAGCCAGTCTGACAGGTGTAAGACTAAGTCTCAGAGTAGTTTGAATTCAGATTTCACTAATGACTAGCCAGGGAGTGGTGGCACACAACTTTAATCCCTGCACTAAGGAGGCAGAGGCAGGAAGATCTCTGTGACTTTGAGTTCAGTCTGGTCTACAGAGAGAGTTCCAGGATAGCCAGTGCTACACAGAGAAACCATGTCTCAAAAAAGAATTCCCTAATGAGTAATGATGTTGAACATTTCTTTGTTTCTCAAGCATGTGAGTTTCCTCTACTAAGAATTCTGTTTAAATATATGTCCCATCTTTTTTAACATTTTTTATTCTTTATTGATTATACTTTATTCACTTTGTATCCCCCCGCCCGTGGTTCCCTACCTCCTCCAGTCCCAATCCCTCCCTTCTTCCACCCTCTGCATGCATGCCCCTCCCCAAGTCCACTGATAGGGAAAGTCTTCTTTTCCTTCCTTCTGATCCTAGTCAATTAGGTCTCATCAGGAGTGGCTGTAGTGTCTTCTTCTGTGGCCTGGTAATGTTGCTTCCCCTTCAGGGGAAGGTAATTAAAAAGCAGGCCAATCAGTTCATGTCAGAGACAGTCCCTGTTCCGATTACAATGAAACCCACTTGGATACTGAACTGCCATGGGCTACATCTGTGCAAGGGTCTTACTTAGGTTATCTCCATGCATAGTCCTTGGTTAGAGTATGAGTCTCAGGAAAGACCCCAGTGCTCAGATTTTTTGGTTTTGTTGCTCTCCTTGTGGAGTTCCTGTTCTCTCCAGATCTTTCTGTTTCCCACTTCTTTCATAAGATTCCCTGCACTCTGCCCAAAAGTTGCCCATAAGTCTCAGAATCTGCATTGATAGTCTGCAGGGCAGAGCCTTTCAGAGGTCCTCTGTGTCAGGCTTCTGACTTGTTCCCTCTTTTCTCCTTCTTCTGATGTCCAGCCTCTTTGCCTTTCTGGATAGGAATTGAGCATTATAGCCAGAGTCCTCCCTCTTGATTAGTTCCTTAGGTGTACAGATTTTAGTAGGTTTATCCTATATTATATGTCTATATGAGTGAGTATATACTGTGTGCATCTTTCTGCTTCTGGGATAGCTCACTCAGGATGATCTTTTCTAGATCCTACTATTTACCTGCAAATTTCATGATTTCCTTGTTTTTTTTATTGCTGAGTAATATTCCATTGTGTAGATACACCACAATTTATAAAAACTCAAGAGACAACACATGCTGGAGAGGTTGTGGAGAAAGGGGAACCCTTCTCCACTGCTGGTGGGAATGTAAACTTGTACATCCACTCTGGAAAGCAATCTGGCGCTTTCTCAGACAACTAGGAATAGCGCTTCCTCAAGATCCAGCCATACCACTCCTAGGCATATACCCAAAAGAGTCTCAAGTACACAATAAGGACATTTGCTCAACCATGTTTGTAGCAGCCTTATTTGTAATAGCCAGAAGCTGGAAACAGCCCCTCAGTGGAGGAATGGATGCAGAAATTGTGGTGTCCCATCTTTTTTTCACAATTTATTCATTATATGTCCCAATTGAAGTCCCCTCCCTCCCTCCTCACAGTCCCACCCTCCCTTCTTTGTCTACACTATCCCTTTCCCCTAGTCCACTGAAAGAAGTTCTCCACTGCTATCTGCCCATAACTTATCAAGTCTCATCAGATCTTCCTCAATCTTGTTTCTCTGTCGCCTGGAAAGACCACATTGCCAGGGGCAAGTGATCAAAGTGCTCTGTACCCCATCTTAAATAGATTGTTTTTTTTTTAATATCTAGCTTTTTATTTTTTTTATCTATTTTGGACAGTAGGTTTCTATCAGATGTATAGTTGCTAAGAAAAAAAAAAAACCTTTCCCATTTGTAGGCAGCTTGCTTTGTCCAAATGGTGATGTCCTTTTCCTTGCAGAAGCCTCTCAGTTTAATGAGGTCCTATTTACTAATTGTTGATTTAATAACTGTCTGCAATGGTATTCTGTTCAGAAAGTCTTCTCCTGTGCCAACAATGAGTTCAAGGCTGTTCCCTATTGTAATGGAAGGTTTGGTTTCTTTGCAAACTCAGTTATGTTATGTAAATATATTTTTGTTTTAATCCCAAGTGTTGGATTTTAGTTTGAGCTTTAGATGTCCACAGCTGTGAATTGTCTCATGTGGTACTTTTGCCACTTGGTAATGGCCTGTCATGGGCAGTGCAGCTTAGTCTAGGGCTTTGGGGATATAAATATGAGAACCCAGAAAGAAGGCCTGTGGTGTTGACATGTGGCTTGCAGCAGTTTGGAGAGACCACAGAGATGGCTGGTGTGGCTATTTGGTGTATATAAGGGAAGAGAAATGCTTTGGGAAACAGTGGCTTGGAGGAGACTACTGGCTGTTTTTGCTGTTGATGGAAATAGGTATAACCCCAAAGACCCTTAGATCCTAAACCATCAGGAGAAATAAATAGTTCTCCACCACCTCTCCCCACCAACATTTTCTCTATCTTACTTAGGGTTGAGAGGTTAGTGGAAGGAAGGTAGAGGCCTAAATAGAGTTTAAAAACGAATGCAACATTCCACTTTCTCTCCTATCAGGTTCAGTTTATCTAGTTTTATCTTGAAGTTTATGATCTACTTGGACTTCACATTTGTTTAAGGTGATAAACCTGGCTCCATTTGCATTCTTCTACATATACATATCCAATTTGACCAGCAGCATTTGTTGAAGATGCTGTCTTCAACAGTGTGTGGGTTTGCATCTTTATCAAAAACCAGATGTCCATAGGTGTGTAGATTTCTGTCTAGAATTTCACTTCAACTCCAATGATCAACATGTCTTTTAGTGTCATGCTTTTATTACTATAGATTAATAGTACAACTTGAAATTGGAGATAGTGATAATTCCAGCAATTCTTTTATTATTCAGAATTGTATGAGCTATCTTTTTTTGTTTTTGTTTTTTTATGAAGCTGATAATTGCCCTTTCAAAATCTGTGACCTGTGTTGGAATTTTGTTGAGGATTGCATTGAATCTGTAGATTGCTTTTGGTAATGTGGCCATCTTTACGACATTAATCCTACCAATCCATGAGCGTGGGAGATCTTTCCATTTACTGATATATTATTCAGTTTCTTTTTTCAGTGACTTGAAGCTTTTATCATACAAGTCTTTTACTTGTTTACTTAGAGTTATCCCAAAATAGTGTGAATTATTTGAGGCTATTGTGAAAGGTGTTGTTTTCCTGATTACTTTTCAAGTCAATGTGACATTTGTTCACAGGTGGGCTACTAATTTTTGAGTAAATTTTTATTAAGCAACTTGGCTTAAAGTGTTTATCAGCTGTAGGAGTTTCCTGGTAGAATTTTTTGGGTTGTTTATGTATACTATGATATCATCTGCAACTAAAAATACTTTTACTTCTTCTTTTCCATATTTTATCATGTTAATAGCCTTCAGTTATTGTATTGCTCTACCTAAGAATTCAAGTACTACATTGAATAAATATGGAGGGAGTGGGCAACTTGTCTTGATCCTGATTTTAGTGGAATTGCTTTGAGTTTCTCTATTTAAGTTGATGCGGTCTATGGGCTTGTAAACTGCTTTTGTTGTATTGAGGTATAACCCTTATATCCCTAATCTCTCCAGTACATTTATCATGAAGGAATGTTTGATTTTGTGGGCAGCCTTTTCTACATCTGATAAGATGATTGTGTGTGTGTTTTTGTTTTTTTTTTTTTTTGTCTTTCTGTTTTTTTGTATGATAAATTATATTTATTGATTTATGTATTTGAACATCCCTGCATTTCTAGAATGAAGCTTACTTTAGTATGGTGGATGACTTTTCGATGTGTTCTTGGCTTCCATTTGCAAAGGTTTTTGCATGTACGTTCATAAGGGAAGTGGGTCTATAATTCTCTTTCCCTTTTGGATCTTTACATCGTTTGTGTATCAGGGTAACTGAGACCTTGTAAAATGAATTGGACAATGTTTCTTCTGTTTTCTATTTTGCAGAATAATTTGAAGAGTGTTGGTGTTAACTTTTCTTTGAAAGCCAGGTAGAATTCTGCACTAAAACTTTCTGGCTCTGATTTTACAATTATTTTAATTAATTAATTAATTTGTGTATTTATTACAATTTATTCACTTTGTAACCCTTTATCTACTCCCCATCCCACATACCCTCCCACTTCTCCCCCTATGCCCATTCCCTAGTCCACTGATAAGGGAGGACCTCCTCCCCTTCTATCTGACCCTAGCCTATCAGGTCTTATCAGGGCTGGCTGCATCATCTTCTTCTGTAGCCTGTAAAGACTGCACCCCTCAGGGGGAGGTCGTCAAAGATATGGCCACTGAGTTCATGTCAGGGACAGCCTATGATTCCCTTACTAGGGAACCCACTTGAAAACTGAGCAGCCTATGGGCTCCTCTGAGCAAGGTGTCTAGGTCCTCTCCATGCTTAGCCCTTGCTTATAGTATCAGACTTTGCATGCCACCCTGGACTCAGATTTTTTGGCTCTGTTGGTCTCATTGTGGAGTTCCTGGCCCCTCCTGGTCTTTCTATTTCCCCCTTTTTCCATAAGGTTTCCTGCACTCTGCCCAAAGTTTGGCTGAGTCCTTCAATACCCTGGTGGGTAATCTATTAGAGGTCCCTTGTGGAAGGCTCCTGTCCTGTTCCTTGTCTTCTCCTGCTTCTAATGTCTATCCTATTTGCCCTTCTGAGTGAGGTTTCAGCCTCTTACCTAGGGTCATCCTTGTTTTTTTTAGCTTTTTAGGACTATAGATTTTAGTATGTTTATC